CTCAATCTCTTGCCCGCGCGGGCGCGCATTCAGCCGCTGCTGATGCAAAATGCAGCAGGCCGGGCGCCGCCATTCACGCCCGGCCCGGCCCCGCCGCGCTTCGAGCGCCGCGCCGCAGATTGCGCCGCGCCGCACAGAAAGGGGCGCGGGCTTTCACGCGGCGGCGCACGAGATGACGCGCCGGCGACGCGCGCCGCGCCCCGGGCGGCGGCCGCCCCTCAAGTGCTGCCCGAGCAAAGTAAACGCAACGGACACGTAATCAGACACGACGCTGCCTTCGAGAAAGGGTTTTCCTCCGGAAATATCACGTGTGCGAATGCACGCGTGAAATGAAAGATGGGAATATGAGGAAATGTTACGCTGTTTTAACTGTTTCTAATACGGAAAAAAAAGTACAATTTTGTTATGCCTTATGGTATAGATTGATGCTTTCACGAACCCTGATCTGCAACCAGATCACTGCAGCCACCTAACGAAGAGTTAGAGATGAGCACAATACTGAACGACCTTTCGCTTGAAACCCTTATCAGCTACATACGATAAGAATCACGAGATTACACTGTGCTTCGTAAGGATCTTTGCCTCATTATTGAAGCAAATAATTTTACGTCCCATCGGCCTTTATTTTATGCAAATATATACATTGGCATATACATACACTCGATGACTGGAAGCGCCCGTCGAAGTTTACAAATGTAAAGTGGCATATTGCATTCATTTTTGACGCGAGAGGATATTATAGCATTTTGAGCATTTTTCTTCATTGCTATTCTACCAGACCATTCCCCGATACAGATTTGATTTTCATGCTTTCGATGAAAGGGAAAGCTCGCGTGCAGCAAAAATAATAGCGAAGCTAGTACGAGAACGTATAGCGATCTAAAAGAACTGCTACTTTTGATAATCAAATTTAAATGTTACTTTTCATTATGGCTTTTTACTATTGAACACGATATGAACATTCATTTCGTAAACAGAGCGCTCTGCCTCCTACTTCGACAATGCAACATTATCAATATAAACGAGATAAAGTGTGTCTACGTGAAAAATAAATCGCTCAATGTTTATTTATAGGAATAGAAATTCGCAAGCGTAAGGTAAAAGGAAAAATGAAAAAAAAAAAATGGATTCAATCGAACGAGAATTCCAACATGAATGCCTCTGGTTCTTAAACTTGATGAGAACGAACGTATCTCAAGAATAATTTTAAGTGATTGTAAACAAGCAAAGGCAATGTCATACACTCCATCAGCAAAAACGGAAACAATGAGAAACTGTTACAACCGCAAGAGGCGAGCAACTCCTCTCCCCGCATGACACGAGTGCCTCTCCTCCTCCTCCGCACGACACCAGCGCTTCTCCCCGCCCTCCAGAACGATACCAGCACTTCTCCCCACACTCCACGCAAGACCAGCGCCTGTCCCCACACTCCGCACGAAACCAGCGCGTGTCCCCACGCCGCGCCCGACGC